TTTTTAACCATAAAAACATCTGAGCTTCGATCAGTGGGACCTGAACCATTAGGCTTGTGTACTGCAAATTATAAGGGGAAAAGGAAAACAAAACATCAAAAAATCTAAATCTCAAGAACTTTAAAGTTAGACATAAGTAAAATCCCAAAGAACAAAACGCTTCCATTGTAATGGCCTTGCTGGACTTGTCTTCTGATGAGGAGGAGCAGGAAGAAGTAGAACCAGGGGCATCTAGGGTTAACATAGTCTTGGAGGGGATGATTCTCTCTGGCTGAGGCAGATCCAGCAAGACCCCAGGACTCCCCGCCTTCATTGACCCACAGCCTCTCAGACTCTGAAGATCACTCTCTTGCTGAACTGCCCAAGTTCATTGCCCAAGCAGAGGCATGCTTTAACAATACAATAGCAGAGTATTGAGCTCTGCAAGTCAGATAGACCGGCCAAAAAGTAAGCCAGCAGGAGAGTATACTCTAAGGTATAATGCATCGCTGCTCAGCTTGGCTTATTTATTAGCCTGAGAGAAAACACTGAGAACAACTTTTCAAGTTTCAGCTCTGTAGTGTTTATTTTGCTGGGTCATGCTTTGGACTCTGGGACTCTCTTGGACCTAAGTGTCTCTTGTCCTTTCCATTTGTTACTTTTTTATCGGACTCCTGATCTCTACCTGGGACAAGCCTTTGACTACGTTTAGAGTATCCATCTTTAGTTATAGGTAAAAAGGGCTCTTTTCTTTTAAAAGTTCTGCCTGAACTTGCATATCATTGGACTGTAGCTGACATCCAACTTGCTATCTTGTTGGCTGGCAGCCAGCAGTGCTGGCACAGAAACCCTCTTTAACATGACAATTAAGTGATTATATTGATTGATTATGTGCTATCAAGTTGGTATTGATTCTTAATGACCACACAGATAGATTTCTTTCCAGGATGATCTGTCCTCAACCTGGTCCTTCATGTCTTCCAATGGTGCACACATTGCTACTGTAGTGAGTCCATCCACCTTGCTCCTGGTTGTCTTCCTCTTCTTCCTTCCACCATTTTCAGCATTATAGAATATTTCAGAGAGCTAGGCCTTCATGTAATGTGTCCAAAGTATGATCATTTGAGTCTGGTCATTTGTGCCTCGAGTGAGTATTTTGGTTTGATTTGTTCAGTGATCCATTCATTTGTTTTTTTAGCTAAAGGGGATATATAGCTAGTTCAAATTTGTACTAAAAAATACTCATCCAATGTTTCTTATCAAATTGAACGGAGTATCAAGTGGGGGCCACAAGGTTCAGTTCTGGATCCTGCATTCTTTAATATTAAAAAAAAAATTGGATGAGGAGGTGGAGAAAATGCTTATCAAGTTTGTAGATGACATAAACTTGGGTAGAATAACAAATTCTGTAGAAGACAGAGATAACATTCAAAATGATGTTGATGGGTTAAAGAAATGGGCTGAAGGTAACTGTAAAGGAGTACAGACATAACCTTGAATAAAGCAGGGTGACTATATAAACATTAGCTTAGTCTTAAAAGAGAGGAGGAGGTGAGAAAGAAGATCAAGATTGCCCTACCTTGATTCTCTTTGTTATAAGAGGGGGAAAGAGAAACTCTGTTAGGCTTTTATTTTCTTTATTATATCCTGCAACACTAGTTCCAGTAGTCCTTGTGAAGTTTGGCCTGGCCTGGCTACTTTGAAGGACTGATAGTAACAAAATGAAATTAATACAGGCAAATATAGAGTTCTTCACTTAGGAAACATAAATGTACAAGTACAGGATGGACAATAGCTAGTGTGACATGAAAAAGATCCTGAAATTATAGTTGTTTACAAACTAAATATGAGTCAGTTGTGCAAAGTGGCTGTTAAAAAGGCAAATGCAATTCTAAGTTGCATGAACAGAAGTATAGTTCCCAAGTCACAGGATGTAAGAGTTCCAGCATATTCTGCACTCTTCAGACCCGACCTCGGTTATGGTGTCCAGTTTTGGACTCTGCACTGTAAAAAGGATTCAGTGAAACTTAAACCAGGAAGACCAGAAATTGGGTCTGTCTACTGTTGAGAAAAGAAAACTGAAGGCCCATATGCTGATGCTGTTCAAATATGTGAATGGGTATCATACTAAAGATTGTTCTTTATCATCCCAGACTACAAGACAGAGAAAATGTATTCTAGTTACATGAATGAAGTTTCTGCCTCAACATTTAAAAAACAAAACCTAATTGTAAGAGCCATTTGATCCTGGGACCCATTATCCACAGAGGAGGTTAGCTATCTTTCATTGAGTATATTTGAGTAGAGGCTAGGCAGCTATCTGATCTAGAGAATCAGATATTAGGACTGGTTTAATTTGAAGTTCTGTACTTAGCGGGAGAGTTAAGTTTAATAACCTAGCTAAATTTTTCTGATTCTGTCCTTCTGGATAAGCAGTTCTTTAGTCAATCACTTCACATAGATGTTTCATTCAAATACAATTCTTAAATGAGACTATGTTGAGTATTCTTGAAACCCAGCCACAGCATAATATTTCTGACTAGCAGAGCTCTTACTGGAATATTTTATCTGAATCCAAACTGTCACTGTAGAATGACTTAATAGAGTGCATATATTACCAGTTTTAAATATAATATGCATGCCATTTACCATCCAAGCTCAAGTAGAAGCAGGAAATGATGTGTATGAATTGAATATTGCCAAACTTTCTCTCAAACACAGAATGTTAATAATCTTTGAAGAATCCGTAGGTATGGAAGATTAGATTTGACTTATGGAAATAACTTTATCTAGCATCCTTTTGAGATAGCATCATTTTGTTCTACCTTTTTTTGGAACTATTTTGGTGCTCCATTAAAGTTGCTTTCTGCTAAGTTGGAGGAAGCCATCAATTAAATAAGTTTGGATAAGAGTGTCAGTGTGTTTTGGAGAGTAGTACCTGGTCACTTAGTTGATACATTTCTCAGATTGTTTTCTTAGTTCAGTCTTTCTCAGCTTGCTGCCTTCTAGCATGTAAGTTTAACTTACAAAATTCCCAGCACAATAGGAGGACACCCAAGTGAGAAAGTTTGCCTAAAATTTCAGAATTTAGCTTGGCTGGGACAAACTCTGTACTACTGAGCTGCTTTAGCTTTATGTATCAGCTGAAGTCTGCTGTCCTAACTGATATATAATGCTTTTTCAAACAAGCACACCTTTAAAGTACAACCTGTGTGCATCTGTGCTGTGAGGTACATGCAGGAAAACAACATGTAGTCTAGAAATGGGAAGATAATACCTGAAATGAGGACACAATTCTACTGAGACAGCTTAGGTTTTAGGATTAAGGCCATCCCAGTTTTTCCCGAATGCTGGGAGGCTGTTGCCTCCTATCCCATCAGAGCTCCTTTCCCTGCTAAGGAGAAAAAAAGATTAACCTTGGGAGAATGGGAACTGATAACTGAGGACTCTCTTCAGCAAAAGAGATCTTCGCAGTGGACAAGTGATACATGTGCATCTGTTCCTGCAGTGGATCGTGATGAGGTTCTAAAATGTCATATTCTTTTATGGAAAAGAGTGCTCTTTTGCATTGAGGAAACATGTGCATCTACTCTCTGGTTTGTGAGAGGAAAGGAGAGTGGTGGCATATTTAAATGTGAACATTCATATCCATTACAGGTAGTCTCCAGTTTAAGAATGAGTTCCATTCCCCAGATTGTTCTTAACTCGAATTTGTATGTAAGCTGGAACACTATTATTGTATAATACTGTATAAGTACTATTGTGTAATGAACTCGAACTATTGTGTATTTAACTCAGATCATTGTGCATTTAACTCAAATTTTGCTACAATGGGCTCGGTTTTTAATTATGGGTCAACTGTAACCCAGGGGTTCTTAACCCAGGGACTACCTATATTCAACACCATTCAAAGGCAATAGTATAAATTCTAACCTGTACGTGAAAAATAAATACTTAGAGAATGCAGTAGGAAGGTTATGAGAGGAAGTTGCAAGCATTCTGGTATTTGTATCTGGCCTGTGCATTGCAAATCACATCTGTCTTGTGAAGGAAGTACTGTTTGCTGTAGAACAGGCATTAATTTAATCAATGTGAATAGATTATATTTTGTTCTTATGGCAGGAAAAGTTTTGGAATAGTAAAGAAAATTAGATATACTTTTCCTGTCTTATGGTCCAGGAACAGTTAGTGGTCTGCTAGGGTAGTGCAGATTGCAGATTGCAAAATCTTTTAAGCATTCCTTCCAAAATCTTGAGATTTGGGCATCTCAGAAGATTTCAGACATTTAAATTATTCTTTAAAAAATATTTTTCATTTAATTTCAGTGTCTGGTGAGGGTGTACTTCTTTGTGCCAACAGATGCTAACTTGCTGGTTCCTAATTTACATAATAGTACTTAAAAGTTTGTGACAATGATGTAGAAACTTATATAAAAGACTGGGAACTACTGATTCATTAAATGATATAAAATGTGTACTTCCATTTATAGTAGGATGCCATCCAAGTCTCTGCCTGGGTTGTGAATTCAATCCAGACTTTAAATAGCAATGAATTTATTGGGGATATCCCATTAACTTTCCTTTCACATTGCTAAATCATTTCAGTTAATTCTTTACTGAAGATTTACTTTATGTAACTGTATGCTGTAGGTGAATAAAATATCAAAATGTTATTGTTGTTTACTAGTTTTAGCTCACAGTCTTTAACAGAAATTCTTAATTGGAGTTTCTTAGTCTGTTAGCTGAACTTTTTAATGAGAACTTATGATTCTGTATTACATATTTCTAATTAAGAATTGGGACTAGAATAGAATTAAAGTAGGTTCCCTATATAACTGTAACTAAAACAGCAAACAGCAATCTGATGTTGTTGTTAATAATGTTTAATATTAAAGTATATCTGTAATATGATATGAGTTTAATTAACCATTGAATGAGCTCATTGATCTTTGGTGTACAATATATTTCCTGCTAGTTTTCTTGCCGCATCCAAATTATAATCCTGCTTTCATTTCCCACCAGATGATGAAACATGCCTGGGATAATTATAAACATTATGCCTGGGGATTAAATGAACTGAAACCCATATCGAAACAAGGACACTCAAGCAATTTATTTGGTAAGTAATATGTGCTTTCTGCTTAATGACATCAGCTGATTTACTATTCTGAAGTTACAGATTATATTAGAAGCAGTGTTTTTAACTAGCTGCTGTGACATGATTGATTACTAAAATTAATCAAATCTGCATTTCCTTATCACAGTTTTATTCTCTGGTTATATCATGCCTACCGTTAAGAAAATTAGCAGCCCTTGCACACAGGGTGAAAGGCAGTGATACTTTATATTCCAAAATTGGGAGAATTGTAAAGATGTCTCTCTTTAACTTGCTACATCCTTCCTCTTACGTATTTTGCTACATGTTTTTATACATTTCTTATACATAAGAAATCAATAAGATAATGCAAGCAAAGGAAATGATACAAACCATGACGTCCTGATAAGCTTTAGTGGTCAAGAGTTGAGCTATTAACAGCATTCAGGGACAGGGCTAGATATAGTACAATGATTCACAGTGTTTATTAAGATATAGGCACTTTACAAAAGTGTAAAACAGAAGAATGTTATAGAATGCACATTCGTGATCAGGTAAATATCAGTCTTAATTGAGCTCCATCTGAGAGACTTAATCACTTCAGTGGTGGGGGAAATTATATGTTCAGGTCATACACATGTTGAAAGACTATTTGCCAGAAGATGTTACCATATACCAGGCATTTGAACAAAATCTATTTAGAGGTGCACAAAAGGTCCAAATGGTAGTGGATGATGAGCTTTCCTAGTTTCTGTTGGGCATCCTGGGTTACAGGCTAGGCAAACTGGGCAGCTTCTACAATACTGCTTCATTGCAGTAGTAATTCCTGGAGCAAACCACAATTTTTCATCAAAAATTTCATTCTTCCTCTGCTCATGTGCCCAATTCCATGGGCTAAATGAGCAAAATATGGAAGTAGGACCCTAGGGGCCACTGAGTATCCATCAGCATTCCATTCAGAGGAAGTCCATTGACCTGAGGGTATTAGTAAGCATCCACAAGAGCTCCAAATATGCTTTTTTGATTCAGAGACAGCATTTTGAAGAGACATCCAGTATCTGGGATGGCCTTTGCTAGGTTTGGAAAGCATTTAGGTGAGTACAAAACAATTCAGTTCGTGATCTGCTGCTTGTTTGGCAGAGACATCTGCCAGTGCATTTCCAATAGTATTAGCATCAGAAATATTCTGGTAAGGCAGAGAGAGTAGGCGAGAAGAGCAAGGCCTCCAGGAGACTTTTTACCAAGGAGGCATGCTTAATAGGTGAACCTGAGGTAGTTAGAAACTGTCTCAGTTTCCATAAAGCTCAAATCATGCATAACTCCAAAGACATATCAAGAATCTACGTAGATATTAGCAGATTGCCTTTTAGCTAATTTACAGGCACATGTCAGCACAACTAGCTACTTGAGTCTGGCATTTAAGCAAGAGGGAAGAAATAGCATGTGGTACAGCAACAAAAGCTGATGACCCAAGGCAAGGATCTACAGAGTGAAGAGCAGCAGCTACTGTGCACAAGTGTGTAGGAGAAGCAGGAGTGGTGGGGCTTAACCCATTTTGCTGTAATATGCCCATGGTCTGTTTTGTTCCCTGTGCTTTGGTGTTGACAGATTGAGCAAAGGCCCAGAGTTCATGGCAGAAGAAGGTGAAAGGCTTAGAGCAATCAGGAATTCCTACAGCGAGAACAAAAACATGAACAAATTTTAAAGCCAGAAAAGAGGATTTTGGAGCTTTAGAGCAATGAAAGGGAGTAGCAGAAGTTTTCGGAAGATTTGGTTAACTCTGCTAAGTTCAAAATCCACTGGTAGCAGTAGTCCATGCCCTCCAAAATGTACATCCCTGCTACAGAAATAGGCAAGGGCAAGTTTAAGATGGGATCAATGCGAGAAGCAGAAAGAGAGCCTGCCTTGGGAATTACCATGACCTAGGTAATGGACAGAGGTTTTTCAGGGCTGCAGCTTGGCCTTAAAGACCTTGCATCCTTTCTCAGCTGTAACACACTGTGCCAATCTGACAAGCTTCAAGAGGAAAGAAGGCCACCAGGAGATCATCAACATACTGAATTAGAGCAGAAGGGGCAGGACAAAATCAGATAGATCATCATCTAAAGTTTGAGAGAAGCAAGCTGGAGATCCAGAGTACACTTAAGGTACTATGTGTACTGGTAAGTCATATAGGTGAAAGCAAAAAGAAACTGATTGTCAGGATAAATAGGAACAGAAAAGAAAGGACTACAGAGATCAGTGACTGAAAAGTTAGGAGCATAGGGAAGAATGCTGGCCAGAATAGTATTAGGGTTCAGAACCACAGGAAACTATTGGGGAGGAGCACAAGTCTATTTATCATTCTTAGACCTAGTGCCATTTCTTACTCTCCCACCATTTTTGAATGGGGAGGACTGAAGTGTTGCTTCTAGTGATTACAGTTATACCCTGCTTCAGGAATACATCAGTTACTGGTTTAATTCCTTCGTCAGCTTCTGGGTTTAAGGGATATTACATTTTCCTGGTCAATGGCTTTTTGGAGTCAATTTGAATTTAAATTTTAATAGGCCTAATTATTTTTAATAACTGGTTTACATCTGTCCATGTTGGCTTGTAGCATTGGAAGGCTATGGTCAGCTCTTTGAATTTATTTGATTGCTCCTGAATTGAGGGAGCATTCCTAGTGAGAGCGATGAAACCAGCAGGACTCGGGGGGTTACAATACCCTGGATCTTGGGAGCAATCTCATGGGCATTGCAAAGCCAATTACTGTGCCAATTTTGCCTGAGACCACATATGATACCTGCCATAGCAGGGACAGTGTTTTTTCCAGTTTTCTGGTAACTTGCACTTTCAGCTGGTGCTTCAGCTGTAGAAGCTGTAGACTTGGAGAAGTTCAGGGTTGTAAGGTGGGGGTTCCTAAAAAGTTCCACTTCCTTACTTGTCTTTTTGGGGAAGTTGAGGATAAAAGGAACAAATCTTTAATATACCTTCTAGTCCCAGGTTCTGCCCAGTTTCTGGTTAGAGTCCTTTAGGCTTGCTATTTCAGAATCCTGGCAGCACCTATCAGCTTATCTGTCCCATTCCTTGAATGCTAGCCACTCCCTTTTCTTTTTACTCATGAGTAATATTCACAAGTGAGCTATTCTGTCTATGTTTCATGTTTTACCTCATAGAAACTGCAACCCCGGGTTACAGGGGCCCCAAGAGACTTTATTCTATTTCTTTAGATATTTGCAAACAGACAACCCATAATGCATACACATGAAGTATGTGGCAGTTCCTTTCTCTGGGGTGCCTGTTTGCTTCCCATTTTAAAATCCTAGGCTAGGCACACAGGCAGAAAGTTGGGAAAGCAGAGATGACCAGGAGGCACCCTTGCATTCTAAGATACCAAAAAAAAATAAATAAATGTTGGTTTACTTAGGTGTGGCTGCACCTCAAAGTTTGGACACTGAGAGATAAACAGGCAGACAAGCATACTGTATATGCCTGCACAAACACAAATTCCAAAATTCTCTTGATTACATTTTTCTCAGACTCAGATATTGAGATTACCTTGAGCTCTAAACCCAAGCCTCTGGAATTTTTCCTGATCTGCTTCCTTACCTGACCAAAATTGCTAGCAATCCTTGGCTTCTCATAAGCCATTTCCTTTAATGAAGTGGCCACAAAGGAGTGGGATTTCAACAGGGCCAGTAAGCCTTTTTGTTGCCTGTACAGCAGGCAAATCTCAGAGGGATCTCTAGATCCATTAAGAAATTTGTAGCACTTATAGACAAAGCAAAAGACCTTGATGCTTTATTTTAATTTTGGAATTGGGAAGAGCATCTTTCTCTTCAACTTGCTACATCCTCCACCCCCTCTTAGAGTATTTTGGTACAAGTTTATGTATTTCTTGCACATTTAGTACAAGTTTGATGAAAATGTTAATACAGTCTGATAAACACTATGATTATTGCACATCAAGAGGATTTCTATGTGAGCTGTAGTTGGGCTCACTGGCTCATTTAGACAGAATACTAAGCAAGATGTTTAACTGTGGCGTAGTTCATTCATAATGCGAACCCATAATTATTAGGTCTCACAGATGACATTATAAGTCAGTATTATGTAAGAATCAGGCTGTCAAATTCTTATTAGCTTTATAATAAATTTACATATGCTATTATAATTTCTAAAATGTATAATAGTTCTAAAATTAGAATTAATAAATATATGCTTTATGTTTGTAAGATTTCTTAGTGAATGATGGTTTCAGGTAGAAATTTTGTTTATTTGAGGTAAATTTTTAAATTAGAAAACATCATAGACAACAACAAAATAGGATGCTTGTATTGTAGATTTAAAAAAAAACTGCAGTCATTTATCTTTTGTTCTTAATGGAATCCTAACTTTTGGGTCACTTCATTTGTTTCTTCATCCAGTAAGAAAAAGGAACTTAGTATTTTATGTTGCCCATTTTTGGAAATAGCTACTTTTCTCCAAGAGCAAATTCAAGTTTGGTCGTTCAGCCTAACATTTCACAGGACTTTTGGGAAGAACATAGGCAGCAGGAAAACATTCACTTTATTAGCTGTGAGCGTAGGACGACACTGGTGATAATTGCATTATCTTCTAAAGTATATCTTCACATAGCTGCTCTTTTTAGTGGAAGCCCTTGTTTCAGTCCACTAATTCCAGACTTCATTTCATTTCCATAATTTGCAAGCATTGCCTGGAATATAATATCTCATTTTTAATTGTTTTCGGTCTTCAATCCATCCAACTTCTTTCTTGTCTGGTAATTTAAAAATCTGTCTATGTTGTTCCTCTTTCAGTCACATCACAAACTATAACACTGAAGCTGACTTGTTTCAAGTAATTGTAGATAAAACAAATTGTGTTTTAAGTTTGAAAATAACATTCAGAATGGTAAATCACAAATTAAAGCTGCAGTTCAGTTATATAACAGATGCAATATTGTTAAGGGAAAAGAATGTCCCTAAGTTAGAGTCATAAATTTTTATGTTTCGGTTTTTATTTTATCTTTAACAATAGCC